TCTTTGAGGGAGGCGATCCTTCCCTTTTACTCAGCACTGAGAAACCACACCTAGAGTATCTTGTACGGTTCTGGGCTCCCTAGTGTAAGGCAGACATGGACATACAGGATTGTATCCAGCAAAGGGCCACAAAGATGATTGAGGCTTGGAGTATCTGTGATACAGGAAGAGGCTGAGAGCTGGGATTGTTTAGCCTGGAGAAAGCTCAGGGGATCTTACTACTGTGTTTAAATATCAGGTGGAGCAGGGGGGAAGACAGAGCCAGACTGGTCTGAATTTGAAATTTGTAATGGAATTGAAATTCCATTTAAATATAAGAAAAAACTTTTTTTTTTACTGTGAGTGTGGTCAAACACTGGAAGAGCCTGCACAGAGAGGCTGTGGAGTCTCTGTCCTTGGAGATACTCAAAAGCCACTGAAAGTGGCCCTGCTCTGGTTGACCCTCCTTTGAGATCTCTTCCAGTCTCAACAAAGGTCTGCTTCTGTATAAAATATCCCTGTGTGAATGTTAAAACTTAGAGTAAGGGTGACCTCTGGTGTCATTGTTGGTGAGGTAGTCGAAATCCAGAAGTGTTCAACTTGGAAAGTGAATGTAGCTGCAGTCTATTAGAAACAGAACTCTACCTCTTGCTTCTCAAGTGAAACACTAAAGCAAGAAAAGAATGAGAAGAAAGTAAAAATCTATATTAATATATTCAGTGAATATATTTTATTGATAGTTCTGATCAAGGGTCAAATACCTGAACTGCTTGTATTGTTTAAAGGATTTGGTTGCTTGCATATTTATTTTCTCTCCTTTGGAGACTAGGAGAAGGTAAAATAAAGTCTTTGCCATGTAGAAGATTTGGGAAAATGAATGCTGAAAGTAAGAGCTGGCCTACATTGGTTCATACTATGGTTATCAGTAGATGTAGTTTTCAGTGAAAAATAACTAGAGATTGGCTCCCTATGTCTAAGAATATAATTTGCCCATAGAAAATTCTAATTAATGAAACATCAAAGTCTGATCTCTTTGTTTATTTTGGGATGTGAAGGGATTGCAGTTTCAAATGTCTTAATACAGATGTCATGGAAGTTAAAGCTGAGGTTACTTTTAAGATGTGTTGTCTGGATTGCATGCTGAGCATGAGCTATGTAAATCAATACTTCCATTCACCCACAGAACATGTACTTCTGTATGCTCTGTTACCTAACTAATAGCGGCAACAGCTGATGGTCCAGCTATGTCTACTGATATATTGGCATGAGTGAGGAGTGGAGAAGTGGTTTTTTTAGGTTAATGGACACATCTGAATGGGCTGTGAGAGCTGTGGGTTTCGCCAGTTGCATTGTGTGTCTTATGCTGGTGTAACCAGTGGCGCATGTGTGCCATGTCCTGACTGTATTGGTTCTCCCGAAGAAGCTGCTGCTGCTGTTCTCTCAGTTGAACTTTGGTTTCTTTAAGGATTTTTGAGTATTGGATGAGTCTGAGCAATTCCTGGCGCAGATGCCAGTTCTCTGCTTTTACTTGTTTGATATGCTGAATTAGAGATTGTATCGCTACTTCTTCTGCTCTCTTGGTGAGAACCTGGATCTTCTGATGAAAGTCCATCTCACAGTCAGCCTTGGCCTGCAGAAATCTGCTCTTGATTTTGCGCATTTCTTCTGAATGCTGTATCTTTGTGACCAACAATTCCTTCTCCAGCTCTTTAATCTTTTTCATCTGTTCCAGCTGAACAGATTGATCTTTGAAAGGCTGCAGGTCTTCAACCTCCTTGTTCATAAGAGAGTACTTTGTCTCCATATTTATCAGAGAGCTTCTTACCTCCTTCTCTTTTTCTGTATACTGTGAGATTAGCTTCTCTTTCTGCATCGAGACTTGAGACAGATCAGTCTGATTCTGGTCATTTAATGTTATTATCAGACTCTGGCACTTCTGGCTGTGTTTTGTTATGTAAGAGAGGTAAGCGTTGCTCTCTTCCTGATTCCGTTGGGCTTCCTTTTCGAGGAATTTATTTTCCTGCAGGAAATGCTCCATTCTCTCCATGTATGCATTCATATGTTCAGTGAGAATCTTATATTCCTTCTGCAAGTACGATTTCCTCTCTTTGACAAGTATTTCCATGTCACTTACTCCTTTGGATATATCTCCATTCTTGGTTCTTACTCCTTGCTTATTTATCCCAGTACGCATGATGTCTTGTTTCATCTGCTTTGTCTTGGATGCCATATTCCACACTGGGGGTATCAAACTCTGGCAAACTGTAACAGAATGAAAAAATACAAATTCTAAGTAAGCATTTATGCCACATGTAGGACCATTGCTTTTTTCCCCAGTCATGCCCTCTTATGTTCTTACATTCTGGCAGCTAAAATGTTTGACCTAAAATTTTTCATGTCTGGCCTATGTCTTGAGTTGAAGCACACGTCCACATATGTGTATTTGCATTTTTACATTCCTAGTTAACTGAGAAGTAGTCCTGCTGATCAAAAAATACCCATCTTTTTAAGATTTCTTTTTTGTCATATACTGTTGTGTTATTTCTGTAGTTTGGAGTACAAAGTCAAATTCCACTGGTGAATTATTACGGCTGTACATCGTGTACTGTCTTTCTCTAGGCAGTAGATCTTGTCCATAAAACTTCAGCAGCAAGTAAGTACTGAAGTGTTAATAGAGTCATGCCTGAAACTTGAAAAATCATTAAGCGAATTCTAAAATATAACTGCTAAGTCATCATGCTAGACTGGAAGCTACCTGTAGAAAATGTTATGGACAGTAGTACAGATTAAGCCCTGTTCCTCCATCGAAGTTAGATTCCTGTGTTTGTATTTGAAGAGACAGCTGCATCCTTTTCCTGGATTTAGAAAGTTAAGTCAGTATTGTCTTACAAAATGAGAGCAGAAGAGGAAGTGTTGTAACCAGTTTTAACCTAGGGCTTCATTGATCAATCAAGGTATTTACTCACTTTGGAGAGTCACCATGTTCTTATCCTTGCCCTGCCTGAGGTAACATAAACTGATATCTTCTTGGATATCATCTTAACTATAATGTCATTTGAGATATGACACAGATAACTACATATTTATGAATACAGAGAGAGTGAAAAAAATGACCATAAAGGGGATAATGGCTAAAGAAACATCCTCCCAGATCCAGCCATGGAATGTGTGCCATGGATTTTGATGGAATATTGAATGTGCCATGCAGTCTTCCCAGTTGCCTAGGTCTCCATTCTTCCCTCAGAGGTGGTGGGTGGGAGATAGGTACAGAACATTATGGGCTGAACATCAATTCAGCATCTGTTGAGATCATGCTGCATTATTCATTTGGAAATTATTCATCTGGGATGCTTTATGTGTTCTATTTTGGTTTTGTTATAGGTGAGTAACCTGAAATTTGCTTTAGTGTTTTGGCTTAATTAAGGCAAAATGTTTTACTCTATTATGGGAAAGATGTTACAGCTCTGTCAGAGTACATCAGTATTCAAGCTGATGCCTTGGTTTTCTGTGCAATTAGGAGTTGTTCTGTCTGGGTCCTTTCTTGCTGAGAAGATAACAGTCCTTTAATAAAGGCATTTTAATTAAGGCAGAATGACAGGCTTCTCTTTCTGCTTGTGTCATTTCCTATTTATACTGGTCAAATGATTGCAAAGCACAATATTATCATAGATAATCTATTTGCGTTTCTGCAATAGACTATGTATTCATTTCCTGTGGTAGGTATGTGAAAAAGCATTGCATAGCAGGTTGAATATAACGACCTGGTTTTGTTTTTAAAGTCTCAAGGTTTCAGGGACGTTTTGGGTGGGCAAATCATGTCTGTACTGGGGGATAGCAGGAGTGGTTTGCAGTGGAAGCACTATGCCACATTCTTTTGTCCTTGACTGCAAATGCCTTTCTAGCATG